GTTTTCGCCAGTGAATCTCCGAATCACGACAATTCCTTTGTGTTCATACTTCCAATTTTCTCACATGTGATCCGACCGGGACACAAACACGCATTTATACACGGCGTCAAGTGACGCCGAGCGCAGATGGCCCAGTGGCTACACTCCTTATGAAGTCAGTCGTCGAGATCGTGGGTCCTTCTACCTTCTAGGTAATCCTGAGCCTTTACGACCATGATATTGCCAATTTCCCTTGTCCCTCGTCCATCGGCGAGGACGCAATAGTTCGCTTGCATCATAATAGAGATAATGGAGAGAAAGAACTATGCCTACCCCTCGACGAATAGGCATAACCGGAATATCGCCTCCATTCCCGAAGAACATGGACGACCAATTGAGTAGCTGTCGGAATTCCATGTGCCTTGGTGAGGGAATGAAGAACAATGGCAGCATTCGCACTCATTCTGCTCTACTCGTGCTACACTCAGTTCCGTTAACGAGCCCATATCAGCAGGACACAAGACCATTGGTAGGAGTATTTGACGTCCTGGTCTATGGATGAGCACCTTTCTCGGGTAGCCAGTTGAAATGGCATTGGTTGGTGGTCGGTGCAATTTAGACTTTGTTGTCTTGATTATAACCAAACAACTGAGATTAGTCATGCTCGACCAAAGCTATTCATGGTGTTGTCTGGATATCGCTTTCCTAGTTCTCGGTGGTATACGATACGGAATCCCTCTTCGTCTTCTCTATACATTGTTGTTTCGATCTACCATCATCGCCATGGACGAGAGGTATTATGAGCTAGGCGTCTCCGAAGCCACCATGAGTAAGGCTATCATAGTACTAGGTCTACCGCCTAGTTGGTCACTTGCGGTCTTTACCGGTTGGGCGTGCAACCCGAAATCTTTCTGCGTCCAGAACAAGGTATCGGATGTCCATTGCCTTCGGTATGTTCGAGACTGGAGATGGGTGACACTATCGAGAACGGCCTAGTCGGCGCAATCGATTTGCAAAGAAAATAGTGGTCGTGGACATGGAGGATGTCGACATGGCTGTCTAAACAAGATATGGGCCGCAAAGGGAATCTCATCCCTAGATATACATCTACCAATACCTACGTTCAACTTGGACCTAACGTTCCAACCAACGCTCTACCACCACGCAGCCCGAGCTAATACACGCTATATCGTCCGTTATCTTTAGCCCGATCTCTATAGAATAGCTTGGTGGTCATCGAGTCTCAGTATCGCCCGTTGAGAATCTACTACTCGAAGCGGCTAGAAAGCCAAATCATTTGATCTTGCTTAGTTCCGCTTCCCCATCCCCATCTCAGGATCCCCAGGCCAGCTAGCCCACATTTGACCCGTGCAAAGCCCTTGGTCTCATCATCAATCTCACATTGCTGCATCATCAGTCTCCAGCACCAGATCCACATGAGGGCAATTGGCTCTGCTAATTGGAGGGTGCGACAGTCTTGAGGAGGCACTGGGTGGAGAGACGAGCGCTACGAAACATCATGTGGGCCGAAAGCGGGCTGGTTGTTATCTGCTTCGGTGGTCTGTCTCCAGACGAGCTCCCCTAAGTAAGCCGGTTCAGTCCGCTAATGCAGAGGCCGATACTTTTTCAATCCAGAAAACCGCTCATTGAGGCCAAGTGGTAGCTCGTGGGCTGGATCAAAAGATGCGGGACAATAGTAGGCCAAAGTCGGCTATTCTCAACTACTTATTGAGGCTTTTTTTCTTCATTTCAAGAATTATCAATTGAGTGGGGACATATATTCATCGGTATACACATCACAAGCGTCATTTCCACAGTTCATCTCAAACGCCAGGCCATGCTCGTGTTGCTTTTGTTCAGAACAAAGGAGAAAGAAATATGTGCTTCCAGTTGGGTGATGGTGATGGTTGGTGGTATGGTATTTTACAAAGTTTCTTGCTGTGACGAGGTGACTGGACACCATGCCGACAACAAATGTTTTCCCTTCTCCCATCGTTACACACATGCCTGAAGGGGATGCGGTGAAGACCCTCTTATAGACGGTTTCATACTCCGGTCTATGCCCATCCCCAAGTCTATAACCGTCTATTATTCTATGGTGATTTTCCCATCGGACGTATTGAGACTCAACGTCATACTAATGACACAGCGGCCGGATTTCTCGGATCGCTCATTTCACATACCCCAGGACGTAGTGTGAACATCGACCTCCATAATTGTGGGTATTAAAGTGTTTAGGTCTAGTATACAGTCAATATGAATTCTGGGATATCGGTGTGGCTATGCCAAGGGAAATACGTACGAACTTGGCCATGAGGGCAACCATCAGATCGAAAAGACCAATGGCTTCGACGAAGGCGAAACCCAGAATGGCGTATGAGAAAAGCTGGCCACGGAGAGCAGGGTTGCGGGCAACACCGTTCAGGAGGGCGGCGAAGACGAGACCGATACCAATACCAGCACCAGTTAGACCAATAGCGGCGGAACCCATACCCAAGTTCTTCGAGACCTCAACCATAGCCTGGGCAATCTCGGAGGAGTAAGCACGGCGCTGGAAAGCCTGGCGAGTGGTGGCGCTCAGGATCTTGGAGGCCTGCTGGCGCTTAGCAGCCTGGAAAGGAGTGGCATTGCCTAATAGGATGACACAGTTAATTATCAGCTCCTCAATTGGTATCAATCGGTAATTTGACGAGTTCGACGACGACGACCAATTGAGGGAATTTTGCGCAAAAACATACTCGTGATGGTGCGCTTAGCGGCAGTGCTGGCGAAAGAAGCACGGACAGCAGGGCGAGCGACCTTGGTGCCCATAGAGGCAAAGGCGCGGGAAGCGACAATACGGGCGGAGGCCATTGTGATGGATGTGTAATTGGAGATGGAGATGGGAGATGTCGAGAGGTGAAGGGGATAGACGAATGAGCTGATGGAAGGAGATAAGAGCTGGAAGAAGAGGAAGAGAAGCTTGTTGCGGTGCGGCAGAAAGGAAGAAAAGTTTGACGGAGCTCTAGGGAAACCACCGAACAGTTGTTCCGGGGCTGGGCATGGACCACCAGCAGTGAGTATTGACACCGTGTCTGAGAGAATGAAGATGGACTGTGGAGATGAATGAAACCCACATGGCGTCGACACAAGTACCTAGAGGTCGAGGGAAACTTTTTCTGCCTCTAATGGAGGCTACCCAAAGGAGACAAGGCTGACGGCTTTCATTATTTCGATACTGTGGTTTACAGGGGTATCGGGGATTTTCGGGTGCGGCGCTTGTGCGTATACTGTCAGGCATTACCTGGTCATTCTTGGCGTGATTGGCTTTGCGGCTTTTTCCCCCATCCATGACCGAGAATATCTATCATTCACCAACCCACCGAGCAAATTTACCATTTTGACATGGAGAGCACACATTCACTTTACATCGGGAACAGAATATAGATTCAGTAGGATATGGCGACTTGGGGAGTTGAATACTAACATCTACTGCTAGTATCATCTTTCACCGTATGAGAGGATGGTACGAAATAGGCGAGCACAAGATGGACCCCCACTGACTAGAGTCGGACCTCCACTTAGTCCTGACTCCTGGGTAGCAAACATGGAGCCCAGCTAGCATTCGAGCCAGCTTATAGGTATCAGTAGGTGGAGTTTGTCCGATGATAGGGTGATAGGTACAGTACGGCACGCACTATAGAGGGTGAGAACCAAACAGCATAAAAAGGAAGACACATCCTCGCTGCAGCAGTCGACTTCACGACCATTGCTTCTCAGAGTCACACCAATTTCGCTGCAGGCTCCCATGCATATTTCTATAATGCGGAATGTGAGTCAGCCTCCCATACGGCTGACCTTGTCCCAAACACAAGATTTTGTGGCCTATTTCGGGACATGGTACCTACAAGGAGCCAATGGAAACTCGGCAATCGATCTATTCAGGTAACCCTAGCAATGGGTCTCTGCTTAACGTGCAGTACAGGCTGTACCCGGTACCAGCGACGCACCGCCAATCCCTACCCGCAAAGAACATAGTCATGTACCAAGGTACCTACCTACCTACTTGACTTCCCTAGAAAAGGAGAGACTCCCCTACTGTATTTCCAGAGAATTGGGAGATAGGCGTGAGTGTGGGTACCTCAATCAACCGATTTGAGATAGGAGAAAAGCATGACCCTTTCTCCCGCCATCTTAAGCACCTCGGATAACAGGAGCTTAGGCGAGTCATGGGTATTTGAGCCTCAAATGCAACCTCAGCGAGGATACGCGACCGAGGGGAATTACCTCATAGAATAAACTTTTATTCTAATAAGGTTATTGCAGTAAGCAACAGAGTTAAGTTCAACAGCACCTGGTGAGCGAGTTGCGTAAAAACCCTTAATAGATCGTGTGTAGAGGAAAGATGATCATCATGATATATCTATTTCGAATTGTTAGATACTGGGACAGTTGCGCTGTGAAAAAATTTTCTTTCCAGCTGACGTGAAATGACGGTAGTGTCAGATCTGTGTTGTACCGATGCGAACAGGGGGGTAGACATGGGATGAAATCTTACCAGGTACCTTGTACATCCACGGGATCAATCCAGGATTCTAATTGGCTGGATAGCTATTAAAGCTTGTTTGATCTTCACTTTTCTACTGTGACCTGTTTGTAGCTTTTTGCAGGTATCTACCTACTTAAGTACTCCGTACCTACATTAACAACCAACCTTAGAGCTTTAATATCGAAAACACATCAACATCTTACGCATGTTATTGAGTCTAGTGCAACGAGAGCTTATCTGCCCCTTCCAGGCCTTAAATATAAAATGGAACGAAAATGACTTCGCTGATTTAACGCCTTAGACCAGGAGATCATCTACTACCAATAAGTTAACGAACACCACGCCTAGGTACTATCATATCAATCCACATAAAGCAAAAGATTCTATTGTACCCGCTCCATACCTACCTACACAAAGACTCCGCAAAAGGAAAGAAGACAGGCGCGTGACAGAACAGTCGTTAAGGGGGGGGGGGGGGGTTATAAAAATATCGCGTTCAGCACGGGACTCGAACCCGCAATCTTCAGCATGCTCAGTAGAAACCGGAAACTGACGCGTTGCCATTACGCCAACCGAACGCCAAGCCATTTTGCTAGATGACGGAGAATGCCGAGTTTCCAACCTATAAAGCAATGCCGCGTTGTGGCTTTTACAATAGCTAGGGCTTGTTCATACTTCATGCTCATTTTGTAAATAAGAACAGCCGCACTACTACGGAAGAATGGTAGGAATATGAAATAGAAAATGTTTAGGATGTTAGCATACTAGATGGGGTTTTGTGAGAAATGGATGAGCGAAGTCAAAGTACCAGGTCGTAAGGGAAGTTTATTTGCACGTACAATGAACTTATAAGAAAAGGTATTTTTATACTGCTATCGAAACGTGATGCCTCCTATTCAAGGAGAAGCAACAAAACGAGGTGCGCTAAAGAAATGCCTTGAAATTGTGCTTAGTTTAAGTAGAGATGTTTACTTGCTTGTTGCTAACAACTTAAAGACTGGGAATTATCATTTACTTCCCTCGAAAAAAGTCCGAAAGTACAGCTGAGTGAGTGGGATGCAAATTAGCAATATAGCATGTTAAAGTGTGTAATTTACTTGCTACGAGGCACAGCCACTACCGCAATCACACAAAAAGAAACCTTCAAACCTTGTTTCACATAAATACTACTAGTATTCTAATATTGGTTAAGGGGAGTGTTAGAGGGTTTAATAAGGGCTAGAACTCAGCATTGTTAGATGCTAGAGTTAAAAGGTAGTTAGGTCAAGGAGCCACTGCGTGTACTACACTAGAATAGGGGCTACAGGCACTGCTTTATATATATATAAAGGTCTTCCCACCTACTCTCATAAAGCTCATAGTCAATGGTTAAGCTATAATATACATTCATAAACTTACTATTTCATTAGCTAGGTCCTCCTAACTAGTTGGGGAGGGTGGTGCGGTGAGGGGGGAACATATATAATATATTATAGCCAGTTGATACAATCACGCCCTAGTAGTTGAAGTACCACCCGCTAGGAACTTATAGTAACTTTATTACCGAACAAATAATTTATTACCTGGCCCACACTAAGAGGTCCTTGACATTACCTATCACCGTAATTGTCGAGCACACAGACCGAGGCCTAGATGAAACCACGACTCTAGTACAGATATGACTTCAATCTATGTTCCAGCTTCCCCAGCTCCTCCAGTTCCTCCTGCCTCCCCATGCACCTCCTGGCGGATATAGCAATGCCAGGCGGTTTTGCGTTCTGGCACTGGTAAAATCTCTGGAGCCGGCCCATAGAGGTCTTTGATGCTTCCAGCTTTGTGATGTAGAGTAGGACCCGCTGTTGCCGTGTTCTCAATACCATCCACACCCGGATAGATGTTTTGGGATCGCCACTACCATACTTGGAATTAGTTATCGCCTTGGATATCATTTACGAGAGTCTTCGACGAAAATTGAAAATTTCTGCTCCAGTTATCGCCCCAATGGGAAGAAATCAGTTCTGAGAGATACTTACAGCGAGATCCAGCGGGGAGCCCTCAGATCCAAAATCCTATTCAGAACACTGTAGTTAGTAATTTCCCTTTGAGGATTTATTTTTTTTAAAAAAAGAAAGAAAATAGAAACAGCCTGGGGTTTCGGGATTTCGTAGGAGTACCAATAGTAAAAATACTCAACAACTCGACTCGTAGCTCCGAATATTCGAAAAGGGGTACTAAAGGACTCTAAATGACTAACCTGCCAGACCTTTAAGTATAAATTTCGGCCACTTAACATTACCGAGAAGTCGGTGGCGCAACGACAGCACGTGCTTCTACACTCTATGCCGCGATATTCGGGGCTCAATGCCCATAAAAAAGTTTGTAAAAGGTTGTTGTTGTACTGTGAATGATTATGATCACGAAATTGAAGATGGGGGCAGATCCGCTGACACCCTAAATTTTGCAACAGTAGGTCCCTACCCCCCGAAATATATTTCCAGATGGAAAGGAGCATAAATCTAGCATTGCCATCGCTTCCCGTAACAATCCGAGGGTAGGCCGAGTAATATACTCGATGAGTAATATATCTCCGGCTAGATGTGTCAAATGGGATTCTTTGGTACGGCGCTAATAGGTCTCGAAGATACGAGTCGTATTTCCGTTGCTGTAAGCGGGTATATTTAAGCGCGAGTTGAACATGGTGGTGCTGGATTCTGATATGATGCGTATCATGAAGGCGACTATGGCGCCATAGAGGCCGGGTAGAATATACTGGGCATCGAGATGAACGCCATTTAGCTGTAGGCTTGTCGTACTTGTCGATAGTGTGCAGGGCCATGCAACAGTCGCACACCCACTTCTCGGGCAGCCCGCGAGCTATACCAGCAAGATATGCGAAATAATCAGCGCGGGATAGATGTGCCGCATTCGCATTCGAATGTTTAGCAAGGCAATCCCGCATCGAGCTGCAAGTCTGAGAAAGCAGAACTTTATCGGCGGGCGCGAGGAACTTTGCAATGTCGACGATCAAGTCTACCGGAAGCTGCAAGAGCGGAACGTTAACGTTGGGTTGCTCATCGCGGGGCCGCCCCCACAAGGATCTGGCAATAGTGACTAGCATCATCTTGGAGGGAGTGAGGAAGGAATTAATGACTAAAGGTGCTTCCACAGAACAAGGTGGACTTATGTGTAAGTATACGCAGGGCTGGAATTCGTCATTGATCCGAAATAGGGGTTCTAGGCTAAGGCTTTGAGGCCGCGACGGTAGCAGAGTAGACGTGCCGGCTGAAGGGAGAATTGCATTTTCTTCTGTGGGATTTCTAGTGAGTTTTATACTCTGCCGAGACTCACCCGCCGCGTTGAAGCTACGGCAAATTTAGGTCTCGCAATGCATATCACGCGGATCTTTAGTTGTAAAATATAAGCTAATATTGACATGACAAGAACGGCGAAAGCCTGTTTATAGATACTCGCGTATGTAATATAATAGGCCTACCCTCGACTTTCGTCTCGTAAGGTTAGTCATTTTCTAGGTCCTACTCTCAGAGTCGCTGTTGAATCGTGCTTTCAAATATCTAACGTAACCTTAACAAGCTTCAGAACGGAGGGTTTGGAAATGTTATGATCTTCTGTGATTGTATAATCAAATGAACCGGGTTGAATAAGCGCAGAAGTTCTCCTCAAGTGAGAACTAAGGCTAGGAGGTAGGCTACTTATACATAAAATGAAGAAATCAACGCAGATCTTATCTTAGACGGGCCACCTGTGGTACACTCCATCAATGAGGCATCGTTGGTTGTTTACGGCACCGTGCGATTCAACTAATAACAAGGATTTTGTATTCGTGATCAGCTCATGCAGTACACTCCTTAGCACCAGGCTGTTTCACTCCTCAAAGCTAGATCTCACTGTCCATATCCGAACCGAGCAAACTCGTCTAAATTATGCCGCGTATCTGCATCGACGATTTCATGAGGCGGACGCAACGTGACGTTATCGCCGTGAATTTCAGCCACTTGGCCATTTAGCGACGTGTCGGTGAGTAGCTTCTCCAAGCCCGCGATGAGTGTGCTTGGCGGTGTGATGACCATATTCTTGAATAGGTCGTTAGTGCCCGATATATTGGTTTCTGTTTGTTTAGATTTACCAAGTTAGTCAACGGTTTTGAGACGAGATTCTCTTATCCTACTGCGTAGTGAAGCATATAACATTGAGCGGTTAGAGAAAAGGGGGAAAGGGTGGAAAGAAAACCGAGATATGAACTCACCAAGCACAGCCGGCGCGAGCGCATTAATCCGGATCCCGATGTGCGGCAGCGCGTAGACAGGACCAAGTGACCGCACAAGACCGACAATAGCATGCTTTGACGCAGCGTAGAGCGGCGCAGGGGGTAACGGGTACATGCCTGCGTTCGATGCCGTACAGACGATAGAACCTCGAAATCCTGTCACAGCGTCTGGGGCGTTGCGTTGCATGTAATGCAGTGCCAATTTCACGGCTGCAAATATTGTTTCATGATCTTGTTAGTGGATTGATACTCTCTAGGCATGTTTAGCTCTGGCGCACAAATTGACGTAAGAGCATGGTATAGAGTAGACTCCTTGTAAAGTACTTTCCATTCGCCTCGCGAGGAAATGGGGAAAGGGGGACGGGAAAATATAAGCTTCATAAATTACATAACAAGAAATCAAAACGCAGGAAAGAGATACCAAAGTCTTTGGACGTCGACCGAATAGAACAAAATAGCGAGCGGGAGACATACAGTATACGTTGCCTACAAGATTAACATCCAAAACTTTCAGCCTCGGCTCCTCTGGCTCATCTACCTCATCCCCCCGCTTCCCCGCCGGCGGTGGCACGACCCAGCTGCGTCCGCCTTCCGAAACGCCTGCATTCGCAATAACGACGTCGACGCGTCCAACTCTGTTGTATACAGCCTTGAATGCGGCCGCCTGCGCCTCCCACGAAGAGATATCACATTTCTCGAAAGCCACGCTTCCTGTACTCGTGCAAGAAGTAGTGAGTTTGGCTGCAACGGCCGCGCCATTGACGCCGTCGATATCGAGTATTGTCACAGTGTCGCCTAGAGTAGCAAAATACTCTGTCATGATCTTCCCTAGGCCGCTTGCGCCGCCTGTCACGAGAACACTACGATTTGTCTTTGGTGTCGACATGGTCCAGTTTGATAATAAGGGAGGACTGTGAGAATCCGAGGTCAAAATCAAGAACAAAGATCTTGGGTATGTGATAATGAGGCTCCAAGGTCGAAAGTGATAAATCGTTTATCAGGCGATAGCTTAAGGGGAGATACTCAACATACTACTTTTATTGATACATACGGTCACAAGGATGTGCACATAGTTTTTCTCGTTACTGTGCCACCAACGCCGGCAATTGTTGTAAGCAGCCTTACAAAACTATATATACTCTCGGTATATAGTCTGAATCGTGCTAGGTCTTTTCAGAGTATCAATGCAGCGGGGTCTCGGGTATTGTGGCTATTGAGTAATAAACCTACTACCCCAACTGTGCCAATGCGACGCCTATTTAAAGGCTAGTGCTTTATTTCTGGGGGTCGGATTGGTATAAAAATGATGACTAA